ACCACTGCTATTCAACATAGTCCTAGAGGTACTTGCAGAGGCCATAAGACAAGAAAAAGAAATCAAAGGCATACGTATAGGAAACGAAGAAGTCAAGCTTTCACTATATGCAGATGACATAATCCTATACATAGAAAAACCAGGAGACTCAATACAGAAACTGCTAGAACTTATACGAGAGTTTGGCAGAGTGGCGGGGTACAAAATTAACGAACGAAAATCAACAGCCATAGTGTACGCAAATAACACCAAGATGGAAGAAGATCTAACCAACAGGATACCATTCAAAATAGCAGAGAGAAGTATGAAGTATTTGGGAATAAATCTAACCAAAAGCGTAGGAGACCTATTCGAAGAAAACTACAAACTATTTAAAAAGGAAATTGAACAAAACCTCAAAAGATGGAATAACATCCCGTGCTCCTGGATAGGCAAAATCAATATCATTAAAATGTCTATACTACCACAAGCAATATACATTTTCAATGCAATTCCAATCAAATTGCCCAAAACATTCTTCACGGAACTGGATACAATGATTCAAAAGTTCATCTGGAAGCACAAAAAACCACGAATAGCTAGAACCATCCTGAAAAATAAGAAGTCAGCAGGGGGAATCACAATCCCGGACCTCTGGACATACTATAGAGCAGTGGTTATCAAAACAGCCTGGTACTGGCACAAAGACAGAAAGGAAGATCAATGGAATAGAATAGAAGCACCAAAAGGGAACCCACACAAATACAGCCAATTAATCTTTGACAAAAAGACCAATGACAGCTCAAGCAAGTGGGAAGGCCTCTTTGGTAAATGTTGTTGGGACAACTGGCTGATAGCCTGTAGAAACAAAAAAATAGACCCACATCTATCACCATACACTAAGATCCAATCTACATGGATAAAAGACCTAAACCTACATCCAGAAACCTTCAAACTCTTGCAAGAAAATGTAGGAAATACCCTGCAAGACCTAGGAGTAGGTCCCGACTTTCTAAGAAGGACACCAAAAGCAATAGCAGTTGAGAACAGAATAAACAAATGGGACCTCATCAAACTAAGAAGCTTCTGTACAGCAAGGGAAACAATCAACAAAGTAAAAAAGCAACCCACAGAGTGGGAGAAGATCTTTGCACACGATATAGGCGATAGGGGGCTAATTTCCAGGATATATAAAGAACTTCAAAACAACCAAAAAACCAAAACAAACAAGCCACTCAAGAAATGGGCACGGGAAATGGGCAAACATTTCACAAAGGAACAAGTCCAAATGGCAAACAAACATATGAAAAAATGTTCCAGCTCCCTAGCAATAAGGGAAATCCAAATTAAAACATCGATGAGGTACCACCTAACACCAGTAAGATTGGCCCACATAAACAAGAACACCAACGACGCTTGCTGGCGAGGATGCGGGGAAAAGGGAACCCTACTCCACTGCTGGTGGAGCTGCAAATTGGTACAGCCTTTATGGAAATCAGTCTGGAGAACACTCAAACAACTCAAAATCTGCATACCATATGACCCAGCAATAGCACTCCTAGGAATATATCCAAAACACCTGTTTTACGACAAACCAACATGCATCCCTATGTTCATTGCAGCACAATCAGTAATTGCAAAAACATGGAAGCAACCGAAATGCCCATCAGCAGAAGATTGGATAAGAAAGCTTTGGTTCATCTACTCCATGGAATACTACTCAGCTATTAAAAAAAACAAAATGCAGTTCTTTGTGGCTAAATGGGTACAACTGGAAACTATAATGCTAAGGGAAATGAGCGAATCCCAAAAGATTAGATACCACATGTTTGCCTTGATTTAACCTGTAATTTTTTGTTTGGTTGTTTGTTATTTTTTTTTTTTTTTTTTTGAACCTGTCATTGATACTGTCTCAACCCAGATGTTTCGAAGAAGGGAACTTGCATTATTTTTAACATATTGTTTACCCAATACTATGTCAATTAATTCCATAATGTTGTATATTGATACTGTGGCCTCGTTGGGGCTTTTAACTGACTGGATCTTTACTCGGTTAGACCTATTTTCAGACCATAGAAGGTCTCCCCAAGAGGCCACTGAACTTATCTGGACAATAAGACGCTGAACTTTATGCTAGGCATGTGTCTGCAAGCAATGAATCTCAACCGAACTTGAACTATGGTTATGCAACAAGGTGGAGGAATCCACCATGGGGGGAGGGGTATGGGAGGGGTGGGGGGAATCCCCAGCGCCTATGAAACTGTACTACACAATACAATGTAAGCAACAATAATAAAAAAAAAAAAAAAAAAAAAAAGAATCATTTGACATGATTTCCACGGAAAACGTTTCTGATTTCTTGATAGAGATGTGGATGAAAAGATTTCCATACTTTTTCCAGTGTTACTTCCTTCTCCTAACTTTCTTTGGCTAGGTTGAGTTTTAGTATCTAGATGTTATTTATACAGTACATTTCAGTTTAGGCACCTAGATAATTATATCTGATATTCTCAGGTTCAAAGTTACAGGTCAGGCAAAGAAAAAAAAAAAAAAGCAAACCACACTATCAGGTCATAAATTGAAGAAACCTTGTGTTCCCACCTGATCATAAATTGAGGGGACAGAGATTCCTTTTGGACTTTAAAGTTGTTTGTTGAACCTAGAAATACTTACACTTATCTATATGTTAAATAAAGTGAACAAAGGTCTTTGATGAGGTTTGAGTGTTTGCTGCTCAGTCATCCAAGCACGGTAAGTCAGCCTCATCCTTCCTTTGTGGGCCCATCAGTACTCAACGCACTTTTGCTCCAGAGAAAGGAGGCCCGGCCTGGAGAACAGAGCTGTGCAGTGGAGTCCAAAGCCAACTAGAAATCAGCCCATTGCCCGAGTGCATCCTTGTGTCCGCCTTCATCAGCCCAGTTGTGTGTTCGAGCCTTGGAATGGGTCTGGTAGGAAAATACATGAGACATCTCAGGGTGTAGTTCTAGTGAAATACAAAGTGTTAGGCAGTCATCTGATTGATTTCTCTAGGTTTTATTATAATAATTGTTTCTATGAAATGAAATGAATGGTAAATACATCCAGAATATACATGTTTCATGTACGTACGTTTCAGTTTATCAAAATAGTAATACTGGCTTCATGTTTTTTCAGAAACTGAGTGTAGTTACTGTGTGGAAGAGAAAGGTGAGATTTTAATTAGCCAACTTTTCTAATTAGAATGAGCGTTTTCTTCTAAAAGAGCATTCTGTTTACATGTTGATAATTTATTAATATTTTAAAATTATCTGGTATGATTATATCACATATATTTAATAATGTTATATCTTACCATAGCAACGTATCACAAAGATATATTTTTGTGAAGCTAGCTTGTATTTTGAAGTCTATTTCCTGAGGAGAAATTCCTAGTATCACTAAGAATCACTTGGTCAAAAGATGCAGTGGAATTACTCTTTTGTAGTTTTGCATCACACAGTCAATGAAAACTCGAAGCTGCATGTTGTCTTGCATAATGTGCCCTCACAGAGTGTGGCCACCTGTGCTGGGCACAGCATCTTCTAGCAAACCTGTGAAGTTGGCTGGTATTCTTTTTTTTTTTTTAAAGATTTATTTTTATTATTTTTTCATTGGAAAGGCAGATATACAGAGAGGAGAGACAGAGAGGAAGATCTTCCGTCCAATGATTCACTCCCCAAGTGAGCGCAACGGCCGATACTATGCCGATCCGAAGCCAGGAGCCTCTTCCGGATCTCCCACGCGGGTGCAGGTTCCCAAAGCTTTGGGCCGTCCTCGACTGCTTTCCCAGGCCACAGGCAGGGAGCTGGAAGGGAAGCGGGGCTGCCGGATTAGAACCGGCGCCCATATGGGATCCCGGGCATGCAAGGTGAGGACCTTTAACCACTTGCGCCACTGCGCCGGGCCCCGACTGGTATTCTTTTAATGTTGGAGCTGACCATTTTCTCAAAGCTTGAGGACCACGTGCATTTAGGACCCCATGTCTTTAATTGTATCTGTGAACACTGGAACTTAACTTCAGTCTGGGAGGAGAACATGAGGCGTGCTTAGGTAGACAGAGAAGCGAGGGCTGCACAGCCTGGCTCTGCTGGCAGGTGCTGCACACCAGGAAGGAGGAGGGCTCCCTTGGCTGCTGTTTGTTCTGCTTCTGCTCTTGCTTTCATTGCCTGAAACCATACTTGATTTTGCATATGTGAAATGAGAGCATAGCTCTGTTATTTTATAGTGAGATTGTACACCAACTGATGATAGGAACTGTCTTATTCATCTTTGTGTTTGGCATTTTAGACAACACTTAACTGGTCTCTGAATGAACATGTTTTGATATTGTGTTTTGTTTTTACATTTCTGACGTTATGAAGAATTGTTCCAGTTTTGAATTACATATGTATTTCTTACTTGAGACAACTTTCCAGACAATTTTCCAGTTAGTCCCTAACTTACAGTTTCACAGGGCTCTAACCAGTATACAAAAGATATGGTGTTTTATATTGAATATTTAGGTTCGTAAATGTTATAAAAACAATTGTTGATGTATGTTTCTCTCTGGGGAAATAGCATAGACCCTCAGGATGAACAATCCACTCAGATTTAACGCAAAAATCTCTTTATACTACTTAGAAGTATTTAGCCAGGAACTTACAGAAATTTCTCAAGGTGGCTTACATGGAGAGATAGAGGGAGTAGAGAAATGCACTTCTCAAACATGATTGGGGTGTTGGCTTTTGTAGATCAAGTGCTGGGAAGAATATCTAGAAATGAAAAAGGGAGTACAATGGAATAGGGTCAGCTTGGGTACAGATTCCAGTTTCGCTCTTTTTCGTCTTTGCAACTCAGCAAATTTTGAAACTCTTTTAGTCTGAAATTTTATCAGATGAGCACAATGATGTCATCTCTCAAAGTTGTGACAATTAGAAGTCATTTGTGAGTATTTTGGAATGCTGTCTGGCAAAGTGTTTAGCTTTTTACACAATTGTCAACGGTGTATACTTCTTCCTTTTTAGATTCCAGGGAACAAAAGGAAGATCCTGAAGGACAGCACTATGATCAAGGTATAACATATTCTTGAGTTTCGAATGTTCTGTAAGGTGTTTTTCAGTTGCAGTGTTATGTTTACATGGTGATTTTTCTTTCAAAGAAGTCAAGAAGCAATTTCAACACATTCTTAAGGTTTTTTGACTTGTAGAAGATGAGGCTTTTGAAAGAACTTTAAGCATTCATATTTTACCTATAACAAATTCATATTTTACCTATCTTATAACAAAAAAATCACCTCCTTATTTTTGTTGATTTCATTGTGTATCAACTTGAGATATTTTTATGAAAATACTATAGTTGTGCTCTCCTCTTTGTTGAGGAGGCATTTATCACTTAAAGGAATAGGATTCTGTTTTTTCAGATTTCTTAATCTAAGCTAGGAATGTTATACAGAATGATTCATATAATGCTTATTTTTGTTCTATTTTATAGATGATGTCGTATACCAAGACTATGATGACCAAGGTTTGGAATTGCTTCTTTCCACTTGTTTTAAAATATCCCTATAGTTTAACTCTAAATTGTGATGTCTTAAATTTGAAGCTATAAATGTCAGATTAAAACTTCCAGTTGTTAATACTCAAGACTTCTGTTGGGGATATCATTTACGACATCCATGGCTCTCCCACTGCCTAGATAATGTCTTAACCCTTTACAGGTTGCATAAGAGGCAGTTGTAAATTTTTCAGGAAAACCCATGTCATTTATTCATGCCCTGCATATTTACATATTTAGTATATGGTGCTCAAACCATCAGAAACTTTAGAAATTGTGGTGAGGAACACACAGGAACTTATTTTCTTGCCCTTAAATTTTGCATTTTGGCAGGGAATTGAAACTCAGAATGTCAGTAGAGCAATTAGTTGCAGTTGTGGAATATGTTGGTGACAAGTGCAGAGGGTGAGTAGAGTTTAGTTAATAAGGAGACCTTAACTCGGGTGTGGGGGAGGAAGGCTTCCTAATGTTTGAGCTGAAGGTAACTGCAGTTGACGCGGAGAAGAGAATGGTGACATGGGCCATCCTGTGAGCTCTCTCTGGCATCTGGAGTGCTGAGAATTAGAAGACAGGTGTGGACTGCAATGAAGAGATAGTCCAGGTGCAGAGGCTGCCTATCTATGGCTTAGACCGAGGATGTGCAGCTTCACTTCAGGGCACTATCGGAGGCTCTGTAGGATCTGATCTGCCTTTTTTTTTTTTTAAGATTTATTTTTATTATGTTTTTATTGGAAAGGCAGATATACAGAGAGGAGGAGAGACAGAGAGGAAGATCTTCCATCCGATGATTCACTCCCCAAGTGAGTGCAACGGCCGATACTATGCCAATCCTAAGCCAGGAGCCTCTTCCGGGTCTCCCACGCGGGTGCAGGGTCCCAAAGCTTTGGGCCATCCTGAACTGCTTTCCCAGGCCACAGGCAGGGAGCTGGAAGGGAAGTGGGGCTGCCGGGATAGAACCTATGCCCATATGGGATCCCGGGCGTGCTAGGTGAGGACCTTAACCACTTGCGCCACTGCGCCGGGCCCTGATCTGCCTTTTGAAAAGATAGATGCGCTGACTCGTGACTGATAACTGGAGAGGCACAACAGTAGATATGGTGAGACAATTAGTCATCCAAATTCAGTCTTTTGCTGAGTCTTGTCATTGCCAAATGGGGAGTCACAGGAAACAAGTTTAAAAAGTGGGACTGCTCAGCAATGTCCAGGGCAAAGGGCCACTTGTGCTGAGCATTGAAAATGTGCCTGCTATTTGGTTTGGTGCCAGAGTGGCTTTACAGATGACTTCAGTGTGCTGGAGCCAGATGGAGCGGTCTAAACTGAGGTAGTGAAAGTGAAGGAAAAGGGATGTGGACAAAGCTAGGAAATGTTTGTGAGGTACAACTGGTAGTAGTTGATGTTAAAGTGAAGTTGGGGAATGCAGGTGCCTGTCTTCTGTGCTTCTGGCTGTTGCAACTTGCTGGCAACTGTGCTTTTCTCTGATAGAAGAGGCTGGAAGATAGGGATGGGGCAGGAGGTTATGAATCCAGTTCTGGACCTGTTTACAGGGGGTTCTGTTGGTACTGTTCCTGTGATTGTAGGAGTCACCAGTGTCTACATACATGATCACCGGACCCAGGATCTGGGATCCCTAAAGCACAGGGAAAAAAAAACAGATGGGAGAGTTTTCTGGCTGTCTTTGGAGAAAACCTGAATTTGACACTTAGAAAAATAATGACGTGATAAAGATTGATAAGGAGTCCAAATGGAGAATCAGGTCACACTGATGTCTAGGGGCAGGAGAAAAAGAAGGGTGTTGCTGAGAGATGGGCCAGACGGGGCTTCAAGGCTCATAGGATGGCAGTCCCAGCAGGTACCTTTACACTAATGTGGTCTGATTCACGAGACAGGAGTGGGCTGAGGAGGGGAGAGAGGCGATTAGATACCAAAGATAAATTAGGCTGTGGCATGGAAGGAGGAACAGGTGGAAAAGGTGTGGGGTGCGACTGCCTTTGTTTTTGCAGTTGAAACTAGGGTGTATGTAATTAGTGCTCTGGGTGACAATTAAGGCACATCTTCCTGGCCCCTTTGTTTTCCAAATGCCACCAAAAGGGCAAAGCTATGCATGTGCCCCCTCATATAGCTCCAGTCCTGAGAATAACAACTGAAAAATAGTAGGTGTTAAATTTTTTTTTCTTTACTGAATGAGTCCAAAAGGATGTATATGGAATTATTTTAAGGAAATAAAGAGGTTGGCTCTTTATACACTGGAAACCTGAAAAATGGGGCTGGCTGAGAAAGATGAGACACCCAGGGTATCAGAAAACTGTGCAGAAATGAGCCTTTTCTGGGCAGAGCAGAGAAGCGTGAAGCTCCTGCCTGCATGTAGGTGAGAGCCGAGTTGGGCAGCAGCCCAGGTTATGGTGTGAGGGCAAAGCCTATCAGTAGCACTCTTCCCCTCGCCCTCCTGCCTAGCGCATTCTAATGGGCTGTCAGGAAAGGTGTTTACCTCAAGATTAAAGATCTGAACATTGTTCCCTAAACAAAATCAGGAATCTTCCTGGTGAAGTTAAGTCCAGGGTAATAAGCAGAGCGAAGTGTCAGCCAACTTAGGACAAAGTTTTAAGAAGAAATTCAGCGGGCCCGGTGCGGTGGTGCAGTGGTTAAGGTCCTCACCTTGCACGCCCGGGATCCCATATGGGCGCCAGTTCTAATCCCGGCAGCCCCGCTTCCCATCCAGCTCCCTGCTTGTGGCCTGGGAAAGCAGTCTAGGATGGCCCAAGGCTTTGGGAGCCTGCACCCGCATGGGAGACCTGGAAGAGGATCCTGGCTGTGGATTGGCATAGCATCGGCCGTTGCATTCACTTGGGGAGTGAATCATTGGACGGAAGATCTTCTTCTCTGTCTCTCCTCTCTGTATATCCACCTTTCCAATAAAAATAAAATAAATCTTTAAAAAAGAAAGAAGAAATTCAGCAAACAAATTAATGAATGCAGGAAACATGTGATCACGGAGGAACATGTAGGTTACCCAATGAGGAGGAAGGAGGTGTGAGCACTTGCCCCACTTCTGTGGCTGGAGTTTAAATCCAGGCCTGCTTTACTCCCATTGATTCAGGCTCTTCCCCATCCTGCTCTGCAGGCTGGTTTCCCAGAGACAGGGTCCCAGAGGTTTGAAAATAAAGACAATGTAGTCTCTGCCCTTTTTTGAAGTGTGCTGTCAATTTTTTGTAATGATGAAAGGTATGTAGTGCTAAAGGATCGTCTTTTCTGTTATTTTACAGTATATGAACATTCAGATCATGAAAGGATAGGAATTTCAGGTAAGTTTCTCTGTTGTCTGCAACAACTTCTTTTATTAAAATTCATGTAACTTACAAATCAAAGTGAAGTTGTAAGAAATGCAAGCCTTTTTCAAGTCATCAAGGAAAGAGTTGGGTATTATCAATACTTAGACATTACTTACCTGCTTATGGTGGAGATTTTATGTGAGCAGGAATACTTCTCTTTTTGATTTGTTCTTTAGATATAATTTAGAAATTGAAACTGGTATACTAACAGCAATAATTATGAGTTTTTCTCTAAGAAGACATGGCCTTAGGTTAGCATTTTGGCACAATGAGTCCAGCCACCACTGCTATACCAGCATCCTATATGACACCCAGTTTAAACCTTAGTTGTCTGCTTCTAATCCATCTCCTTGCTAATGTGATTGTGATAGCAGCAGAGGATGGCCCAAGTGTTTGAGTCCCTGTCACCTCTGTGGAAAACCTAGGTGCAGTTCAGCCTTTGGCTCTGAGCTGGCCCAGTCCTGGCCATTGTGGCCATTTGGGGATTAAGCCAATGGATGGTAAACTGGTTGATTCATCAAGTGATCCATCTGTCTCTCCCTCTCTATAACTCTACCTTTCTAATAAATACTAAAATAAATATTGGAGGAATAAAAAGAAAGTGCTGTCTAAAAAGAGACAGATATATATTTCTTAGTAATAGGAGTTAATCTCAGCAATCTTGATGGAATTGTGTTAAGGTGTATTTGTATTTTCAGATGATGTTATGGAAGACCCAAACGTGTTTGCAGAAGGTAAGTTAATTTTCTAGAGATTGTTCTATATTTCACAACAAGGGTATGTTTATTTGTGTAATTAGCATTTAGTGAGCACCTTCTGTATGCTCCTTATGCAGTGCTCAGCAGGGGATGACAGGGGTGACTAACCCTGTAGAATTCTTGTATTCATTGGAGGTATCTTTGTAGAGATCAGTGGATAGGAACATTGATTAACGACTGAGAAGTAGATAGACAGTTATCAAAAATGTCGGGATACTGCAGCAGAAAATAACCAGGAGGATGTGGGTCGTGCACTAAATAGAAGGGAGAGAGCATAGAAGAGGAGCTGACCTGGTAAAGAGGAATCAGCTGCAGAGATGGCTGAAAATTGGGTCCTTCCTGTTGTTATTCAGCGGGGAGAAAAATACTTTCTTTTAGGTAAAAACATAGTTTCTGAAAAAGAAAAATAGTGTACATAATAATGACGGTAATTTAAAACTGATATTCTAATGCAAATTCTGTGGCTTTTATTAGAGGACTAATCTAAAGAGAGCCCCATTTATGTATGGGTGAGAGTTACATGATTTTTAACAGGTTATAAAACATGCATTGTTTCAATAGACACTGAAGAAACTTGCTTTATAACTGATGAACTGAAGGTCAAGGTGAATGGCTTGTTATCCAGGCAGCCTTGGGGCCAGAAGTTGATTCCCAAGAGGGTGTGTGTGCCCAGCACTCTACGACAAGGCACGCTTGGAGGGAGTTTCCTTCTGGAGGCTCCAGTGGTCATGGTAACCACTTCTGAGGATTACTGTGCAGCCAGCTGAAGTGGGTGAGGCCATGGACAGGGAAGGAATGAGGGAGACCACAGTTATCCTCCAGATCTGAGCCCTGGGGGGATCGTACTTGAGCCCTGGGATCCCACTATGCACAGTCAGGATTCATCTTGCTGAGCAGGGCTAGACTGGGCCGAGATTTTTCTCCTATCTCCCACATCTTCATTTTCCATGAAAAATATTAACGTTCTGAAGACTGTAGTGCCACTTTATGTTTTGAATCATTGAGAATCAGAAAGGAAATCCAAAGTTCGCAGGAAGAATTTCATTGAGCCTCCCCAATGTATGTTTAAATTAAAAAAAATGCTATTGCAATATGGAATTTGACCCTGCCTTTCTTGAAGTAAAAATTAGAAAATTTCCGATTTTTTTGGAATTTTGAGCATCTAAAGAAGCGGCATCGCCATCTGGTGAGCCATGAAGCTGCAGCTTCGTGCTAGGTTTTCTGCATGCCTGACTGGGTGTGAAGCAGAGCCCATCTTGTCTGCACACCCATACACTTCCCCGTACCCCTGTCATGCCTTGTCGTGACTCCTCATGTCGGTAGATGGCTCCCAAACCAGACTCATGGGAGTCACTATTGAATCTTCCTCCTCCCTCCATTTCTGTAGATAGTCATCTGTTCCATGAACAAATCTTTGTTTCTTTTTTTTAAAATATATATTTTTTGAAAGTCAGATATACAGAGAGGAGGAGAGGCAGAAAAGATCTTCCATCCGCTGATTTCCTTCTCCAGTGATGCAATGGCTGGAACTGAGCCAAACCAAAGCCAGGAGCCAGGACCCTCTGGATCTGCCATGTGGGTGCAGAGTCCCAAGACTTTGGGTTGTTCTCAACTGCTTTCCCAGGCCACAAGCAGGGAGCAGGGCCGCTGGGATTGGAACTGGTGCTCATATAAGATCCTGACAATGCAAGGTGAGGACTTTAGCCACTAGGCTACCATGCTGGGCCCAGACCCCTGTTTGTTTTAACTTTGTTATCCTTCTTAGGAAGTGGTAGAAGCTTCTAGACTTTCAAATCCATCTTTGATACAATGCTGGCAAGATATATTCAAAGTACAGGTCTCACCTCTCACCATACCAATCCTGTGTTTAAACCCAATGTTTTTCTTGCATTAGTATCAGATTAAGTTCAGCTGCAGATAATAAAAAGTTAAGTTGTTTTATGTGATAAAGAGATGGAAACATCTCCATCGAGGCCTACTACATTTTTAATTATATTCTAGGTCCAACCAGAATTTATGGAAATAATTTTTAAAATATGGTGTCTGATTTATATTTTGGAGAAGTATCTCCACTCTGGCTACATAATGTGTTAGATAGAGCAAGAATAGGACAGTGGGGCACCCTTGTAAGAAAATTGGTGTGTACTTATAGGGAAGTGATTGTGGTGTCCTGGAGCATGACCATGACAAGTGAGAAGAGAGGGGAAGCTTGCAAACTTGACATCTACTTAGAATTAAATTGATGGCCCTTTCTGGTGATTGTGAAGCCAAGAATAAAGGGACCTTTTGGTTATTGGTTTTAAGGAATTGTTGGATGTTGGGATTGTTTATTGAAAGGAAGAAAACCAGGATATACAATAAAATGGTATGGAGGAGATAAAAGGCTTTGTATTGGGCGTTTTAATCTTGGAGATTTGAAGCGAAGTACTGGACATGGCCATCTTAAGTGGCTGTGCAGGATCTGAGATCACGTGGGCATCTGGGAGTCTGCATGGCAGTGTTGTGATGGTCTTGTTGGTAAGCGCAGAGAGTGCAAAGGCATCCCTAGCACTGAGCTCTGAGAAGGATGGATGGAAGATGAGTAACTGGTGAATCAGGAGCAGTGAGAAAGGAGTGTGTCCAAGTGGCCTAGGAATTTGAGGACTGAGCATTACTGGTTGCATGCGACAACTCAGAGATTGTTCCAAAAGCCACAGGTGCGAGAAGGGGTCCTACTGGTAGAAGTAGATAAAAATTCCCTGGGGTTAGGGAATTTTGTGGAGCAGTGGGTTAAGCCACTGATCAGAACATCCACATCCCCTATTGGAGTGATGGTTGGAGTCCTGGCCCCATGCTTCCAGTCTAGTTTCTTGCTGGGACGGAGCAGAACATGGCTCAGTTGCTTGGGATCCTGAAATGTGTGTGAGACCCAGATGCAGTACTGCTCACCTGGATTTACAGTTAACAAAGATATTTCAGGATGTTGCTGACAAAATTTAGTTATTTCCTTTTAAAATACTGTGTGATATGTATGAAAATCAGTTACAGATTAATTTGCTAAATGTGTACTTTTTTAAAGATTTATTTTAATTTGAAAGGCAAGGTTACAAACAAAAGGAGGGGGGAGAGAGAGAGATCTTCCATCTGCTAGCTCACTCCCCAAATAACTGCAACAGCTGGAGTTGGGCTGATTTGTAGCCAGGAGCCGGGGTTTATCCTGGGTTTCCCAAGTGTGTATTAGGTTCCAAGGACTTGAGCCATCCCTGGCTGTTTCTCCCAGTCCATAATTGGGGAGCTGTATTCAAAGTGGAACAGCCAGGCCTCAAGCCAGTGCCCGGTTGGGATGCCAGTACCACAGGCAGGAAATTAGCCTGTTATGCCATGGCTCCAAACACAAATGTGTACTTTTGTGAATAAAATTGGAAGAATAGAATAAAATTAGAAGAAACATTAATTTTTATTCTAATAAAATTTTTATTAGAATAAAATTAGGAGAAACATTAATTTAGCTCAGTAATAAAAAGGATTCTTTAGTACCACATCAGTGAAGGAGACAGCTAAGGAAGTAGGTAATATATTAGCAATGATTAGTGATAATGTATGTAAGATTTCTGTTTTCTTTTACTTCTGTGCAAAATATTTCAAAATATTGCTTTATGCATGTGTTAACTTGTAATTTGGGGCATATTAATACAAGAAGAAAATGGTTTGCTATGTTTGCAGATAGTAGTAATACATGGTGCAGCAAATCTCATCCATGCATCTTTATACCAGTGGGTGGTGACACATATAGACTCTTTAGTAGCAGCTGAATTGGAGTGTCTAGAGGGAAAGATGATGTGTTAGAATCCAGCATCCATGTGTTTGACTAGGTTTAGAATATATTGTCTTCAGTGCTACTTTCCAGAAGCAATTGAAAATGCAAAATTCCATTTCATTTTAATCTCCTTATGTTGTTTGACTAATGTCAAAACTAGTGTTGTAAGGGAATTACTTTTCAAGAAGAAACTGAAAAGAAACAAGATGCTGTAAGTGTTTTTTCTTGATTTATCAGATATGATGCAAAATTGTGGTGAAAACCTAGATATTAGTCACTATTTCCTTTGCCAGGCAATGGAATAAGGTTAGTCAAGCAAATAATATTGTGAGGTTTGTTTTGCCAGCAAGTTGTAAAACAGTGAAAGTTCCTGGAATATGTTTATTAAGAAAAACATATGCATGGCTTTTGCATTTTTTTGCACCAAAATAAGCTTATCTTTTAATACCATTTTATATGTGCTTTTTAAAGTACCCTGCTGTGGAACATTTCGTTAAGTTTTGTCATATTGTTACAACAACCTAACATTTTTATGATAACTGTAACAACATTTTTCTAAGTTTACAGAAACAATCACTTTAAATATTGGTCGTCTGTGTTTTAAACACTGATCAGCAAGATGTAATATATCATGTCTTTATTTTTCATTTTAGATGTTTATGCTCCACCTGCAGAAGAACAGCAGGAAGTGCCACCAGGTATGACTGTTAGTTCCATGTATTACATTTTACATTGTGGTTTAACTTAAAAATGCTCTTGGTGTTGGTACATGTTGTATGAAATAAATTTGTAGAGAGTAATAATGCTGCAACGGTCACAGTGCTGGGAGATTTGTCAGACTTACATTTAAAAAAGAAAATTTCTCTGCTTTGGTCTGTTGAGCCAAAGTGGTGAAAAATGTGCGTCAGTTTCCTATTGGTACATATGTGTTGTGCTAGAATTGGAGCAATAGTAACAATCAAGATACTTTGTAAGTTTACTTTTATAGATGGTGGTAATAGTAGAAGTTACCTTTTTGGATTTTATTCCACTTGTTGATTGACTTGGAATCAAATAGCTTCAGGATGCCAATTGAAGAAGGCCTAAGTTGTGACATTACTCCTTCTTTCCCATTCCCTGCCTTTCTTAAGAGCATCCTTCATCCTGTGTCACTGCCTGGCTTTGTTGTACCTCCACAAGAGATGAGATTTTATTTTAACCCACTGCTTTAAACCCATTTCTCTACTTTTCTTTATGTTCCATGCCTGTCCTTCTTGTGTCAGTGAATTTAAAGAATGAGAACCTGGGCTGGCATTGTGGTATCACAGGGTAAGCCACCAGCTGTGACACCAGTGTCACATATGGGAGCTGATTTGTGTCCTGGTTATTCTGGTTCTTATCCAGCTCCCTGCTTATGTGTCTGGGAAAACAGTGGAAGATGGCCAAAGTACTTGGACCCCTGTCCCGCACATGGGCAAACCAGGTGAAGCTTCTGACATTGGCCTGGTCCAATTTGGGCTGTTGCAGCTACTTGGCCAGTGAACCAGTGAACCAGTGAATGGAATATTTCTCTCCTTTCAAATTGGAATTAACATCTCCTCCAGGCCTATGCTTTCACATGTACTTTAGAGATGATACAAATTGCATCAGCAATCAGGAATTAGCATAAATACATTTCTGTGAAATATATTGCTTTACTCTTAATTCACATTTTACATATTATATGCAGTATCATGATGTTTATGCTAGTGTTGTATATCACTGTTGCTGTTGTACCTTCCACAATTTCTTGACTATTAGATTTCAAGGAAAAAATGTAACCAATAAATAAAATAATCAAAGAATGACTTAGTTGTACTACAACTTGTCTTTGCTGAATGCAGTGTTTTAAATTTTTGACAGTGGTCATACCATATACATTTATTATCAGAGTATATAAAAACTAGTACTTAATTAAGACATTTGGATGGCTGGTACTGTGGTATGAACAAGAAAAGGAATCCATGGAGAAACTGTTTTTGGCATGGTGGCCATTGATGTGTATTTTCTGATTAGAAAGGTGGACAGGGTAAAGAAATGATTATCTATCCCTCTTTTCCTAGCTTGTTCTGTGAATAACACTTCACAGGATGCCCTGTTCTACCTGTGGAAGTAGAATTAGCATGCTGATTACTAGTCTACTCCTCTAAACAAAATTGCTAAACATTTCTAAAAATAATTTATATCTATTAGCATCTTTTGGTCATAATTTGTTTCCTTTTCATCATTTACTTAACTTTGTGGTGATACGAAAGATAATATTTTCTGGTCCTACATCTTTCTTGATTTCAGTGTTTTATAAATGGCCTAGGAATTTCATTAAAATATAACTATTCTATAAATACATGTGTTGTATATGTTCTATATAATATAGTTTATATCATGTAGTTCAGATGATGCAATGAGATTCTTTTCTAGATAAGTTACTTGATAAGTGAAGCACTTAAGAATGAAAATTTGAGGAACTAGACATTTCTGTAACTGAATTAGCTCCATGTAAATTTTAGTTCTGGTCATTATTTAGTAACTCATTAGCCTGATTCTTGAATTGGAACAAGAGAAGCTGAGTGTGGAACACCTGCTCAAGGAGCTGTAATCTGCAATTTGATTTTTCAAAGTGTGATTGACCTGCTGCGTGATTATAATTAGACCTTGTCAAAAGAGAATATAAGTGTAGCACAGTAGTAGTTATTTTTAACCATCACTGCCTGTATATCCCATAAATCTTAGTTTTTCTTTGTATAACAAATTTTAGCTCAATTATGCAAAATAATAGTATCAATGGATCTATAGCAATACTTTGGTACAGTAACAACTTTTCTAATAATGTTCAGTTGCATATCTGATGATGAGGCTACTGTTTCCTTACTGCTTTTTAGTCTGAAGCTTATTTATTTATTTATTGGTCAGAAAACACAAATCAAGAAGTTCTGCAAAATGTTCACTGCTAGTTTACATTTTTGTAATTCTCAGAACCTTCTGCTGATTAATTTGCCTTCTTTGATTATTCTAAGATTAGGTTGTATGATCTTACTACTGCTTTATATGAACTTTACATGAATTGCTTTGTATTACTAATATAGCTTTAATGTGAATTACAGTTCATGTTAGGAGTGGACTTTTACCTTACTCCCCAAATGACTACAACATCTGGAACTGAGCAAATCCAAAGCCAGGACCCTGCAGCTTCTTTCTGGGCTTCCATGTGGGTACAGGGGCCCAAGAACTTAAGCGATACCCTACTGCTTTCTCAGTGCATAAGCAGAGAGCTAGACAGGAAGCGAAGCAGCTATGACTAGGATGGTACCAATATGTGATGAAGGTACTGCATGTTGAGCCACCGTGAGGGCCCTGCACAGCATATTTTTAAGGAGCAGGTGTGATTTCCTGTTTGTGTGTTACAGGTTGAGGAGTATAGATTTTAACTACTCATGGAAGTTATAGGAGTTGACAGTTGGGATATAGAGTAAGCAAGTGCTTATGGATCTAGAGCCAAAACCATGTGCCATGCAGGTTATAAATAGGTAGGGTGAAAAGTGGGCAGGTACCTCTTCTTAGAGTCTGTCATGTTACCATATTCAGATCTGGGCCTACACAAAACAGGAAGCCATTGAATAAGCACACTGGTCATATAATAAAACCTGGAAAGGAAGACCAGTCCAGCAAGGAGGTAGAGATGAGTAAGGGGTAGCAGTAGTAATCTAAGCCAGAATTCATGAGGGGCTGCACTGTTGGGAGTGAGGCACTGCTTTCCTAGAAGCTGAACTGGAAATAATATGATGGGACAGAGGGAGAAGCAAAGAACGATTCTTCCATTTCTGGCCTGAGTCCTTATAAGTGAATTGTGAGCCTTTTGTGGATGGAAGTGGAGACAGCAGGGAGAGGAAGAATACTCATCCTTTGAGGCCTGGTTTAGGATATGTTGTTTGCATCTTACTGAACTCCTTCTGAGAGGGATGTTTATAAATATTCAGGACCACTTACTTGAGATGTTCAAAATTGCTACTATACTTCATTCGCATTTTTGTTAATACCGATCATTATACTTATCCATTGTCTCAAGGTATTCTAAGAAGTTTCTTCCAGAAGCTTGTTGTTAAATTCTAAGTGGACTTGAAGTCAAACTCATTTGAAACATTTTCTGATGAGATATAGTTGACACAGGAAAGTACTTACCTGTGGGATTTTCAAATGGGCAGAGCCTTGGGCCCACTCATCAGACCAAGCTGTGGAGCACATTAGCCCCTAAGAGGCCTCTTCTCCCCTGCCCCCAACTCTCAATGATTCACGCAACTCTCAGTCATAAGGCCAACACTGTTGTGCAGTCAGCAGCATCACAGACTAGTTTGTGTGCTTCCAAGTTTGATACCATTCAAACTGCAGACACACACACTCACTGTTGACTGGTGCCTGTTACTTTGTATCATGTGTAAGTCCCATCCACCTCATTAAGGATGATGATTTTGCCTTATTCCTGACTGTTTTTCTACACTGAGAAGTTTTTATCCGTTTTATGTTTGATGGATATAATGGTGTTTTCAATTTAGGGCTGTTGAGAACAAAGTTGTTATGGGTATCTTTGTATAATATACTTTTTGGTGGCTATAAACATTCATTTCTGTGGGATGTATGCAGTTTGACATGTTATTTCTGATTGTTCCACGTTATCATATGGCTTAAGTGACAATTTTTTTGTAAACATATAAGATAAATGGGAAAGAGGAAAGCAATATTACAATCAAGATGTAGCTGGGAATTTATGTCTCCTTTTCTAATCCTAGCACATCCAATGTTGTAATAGCAAAATAAATCTGACATTAATGTTGGGGAAGAGAAAAGACTTGTAAGAAGTTGGATAGGAATGAATTTTACTTCCTTTAAAATATCATGGAAATAAAATTATCAAACTAATGTATTAAAATAAAACTTACAGTACCACAGAAAATCCTTCCTGAATTTTCTCACACATTGTATTAGATTTCTATTTGTTTTTAGTTTGGTGAAGGCATTGATAGGTAAAAAAAAAAAAAGTAATGCTTGGAGTTTCTTGAAACACTGAGATTCTTCCATTCCATTGTAATTCCCAAGTGTTCAAAGGAATTTTGGATTTTTATCACCAATTCTGTCAAACCATTCCAGGGTCTTCTCTGGGTGGTTAAGTATTCTTTTATTGTCCTTAGAAATGGCCAAGCAAAGAAACCAAAAAAGCACCTTTACTTCTATTGGTCGGTTTTAAAAAAGTAGATTGAAAACAAAGCAATGAATCTATGTCTGGTTGGTCCTTTAATTTAGATTTTCCCTTATTTTTGCAGATGCTTAAAGCTTCAAAAAGACTGTCCCTACTACCACAGGAGGACCAGCCTAATCATACGCTCCAAACGATGGGTGTGCAAGATCTTGTGATGTAATTATTGAGCAGATCAAGATCTTTGCGAATGAACACTAAAGATGTTTTGAATGAACTATAGACCACTGGCACTTTAGTGCATTGCATTCCTGCATGTCCTTTTTCGATAACATTAATGGATCTGTTGGATTTCTTCTCTTTTTATGATGTAATTTTTAGTCTTCCCTGCATTTATGTATTATTTTCAGACAGTAGTTAATTATTTACATTGATGATGTAGCAGCAATTGTCTTGGCAGGGTTTTACTGTATTACTAGTAGTTGGCACTGTGTT